GACGCACGTTCGATTGTCGGGGGGTGGGTGGCGGAGGGCGCGCGCGGGCGCCGGCATTCCAGCCCGGTCAGAGGCCACCGCCGGCCGCCGCGCCTCCCACCCGCTCGCGCACGACCGGCCTTCGCGGTGGCTCCCCAGCGCCCCATTCACACTTGGAAAACGAGGCGGCGACAATGCAACCGACCGGGGCCCGTCCGCTAGCCACTCAGACGCGACGCGGAGCGCTCGTAAGGGCTGCGAGGAGAAAGCTATGGACTCGGCCAAGAGTGAAAAAGACAAGTTATTATTGGGTTCATTTATTTGTTTACGTTTCGAGCGCCGAGCCGTTACGTATGCCAAGTGGGGTAATTACGACTGTGATAATTCACGTATCATACATGCATAAAAGAAATTTAATGACCTCTCATTTGCTTCCATGTTATCTCTTGTTTAACCGTAACTTTATGACATCACGATCTTCCTGTTTTCTTCAACGTCGTTGCGACATTCAATTACTCAACGATTTTATAAATATCTTGTATTAAAGTTGAATCCCAATTGATTCCTTTTCTAATACTGTCTATAATTCTATCACAACGTCCCATATGTCAGTCATGAAACTGTCATTATTACACAGCGTGACCACGAAAATATTATGTCAGCCATATGGCTAGCACACCCCTCCTTTCACAGAAAGTCGGGTAAAGAAAGACAGAGAGAAAAAAGACAGAGAGGGAGGAGAGAAAGAGAGGGAGAGAGAGAAAGACAGAGAGGGAGAGAGAGAGGGAGAGAGAGAGAGAAAGACAGAGAGGGAGAGAGAGGGAGAGAGAGAGAGAAAGACAGAGAGGGAGAAAGAGGGAGAAAGAGAGAGAAAGACAGAGAGGGAGAGAGAGAGAGAGAGAAAGACAGAGAGGGAGAGAGAGAGAGAAAGATAGGGCGGTGGACGATCGTGCCCACGACCTCCTTCGCCAGGTTGTCCCCGTCGCGTGGCGTGGAGTGGCGTGGCGTGGCGGGACGGGACGGGACGGGACGGGACAGAACGGGGACGGAGAAGGGAGGGGCCGCAGAAGGGAGGGGCGGCGCTCGCTGACCGGGGTGAAGGAATGGGGAAGCTTCGGGGTGGCGATGGGGACGGAGGACGACGCCCGCCGCTCTGCCAAGTCACGCGTGCGAGTGCGCGTGGCGGGGCGCGTGCCGCCAAGCCACTTGGGACGCGCGGGCTTCGCCTTGCGCAACCGCACGCACTCCGCCCCGCCCTCCCCCTTGCCACGCCCATCCGCGAACAAAACAAGGCGAAGACGACGCAACGGGAAGACGAACTCGTCAGAAAAGACGGATTCATAAATTAACACTATGGAACAAATATACACCAAAAACAAATTCAAGAGAAATGCAAAGTTTCCCGAATTTCATTATCTACCATTGCTGTTCTCTAAAAGATATATAATTTTACAACCGAGATAAATCAATAAGTAGATATAGAAACCTTCTGATATTTTGCAAAAACAGCGAATAATTTCAAAATGAAGAAAAAGAAGCGCTATGACAGACCTGTCATAACATCTATCTCCCACGCCTATACACTAGAAGATGAGCAAGAAGCGACGAACTACAAAATATTGGAGAGCCCAAAGATGGTTCTAAGACAAACAAAACAGTAATCTCAGCTTTACAGACCTCCAAAATTGGAAGGATGAAATCTGACATAAAACAGTCACGTATTACTTAAATAAAGCACTTCGCTCTATAATATATTTCTACCGACCGTTACATTTTCAAAAGCACAAGCAAATTTTTTTGAAAGATTGTTCACTAAATACAAAACAAATAAATTACAAAAAAGAAGTTTACTAAATAAAATGTTCATTAAACGTTTTGAAAGACTTCAACGTTATTACAAAGCTTTGAAAAAAGGTTCTAGGAATTCTTTGTCCGGGATGTAGGATAAATGTATGAAAGAGTCGGAAAAGGAGCTCCATACAAAGACAATTTAAATTTTGAAGGTTTTTGTGCCAGTTGAATTTATTTCAGCTCTTGCATTGAACTTGCTGTATTAAGAAGAAATGAAAGGAAGCACCATCCGTTTCTACAATGGTAGGTATGACAAGAATGTGTATTTCATTTTAAAATATTAATTTCCTAGCTAAAATTAATCCATCCTATTTCGTATTTCAGAAACGCATGCACGACACACGTTCTTCACGACAAATAATTCTCATTGTGGAATTAACAAGAACCTAATTAGATCAAGCGGAAAATCCTAGAATTTAATAATTCGCATTCACGGAATTCTTTTATTGCACGTTGTTTAGTAATCCCGCCAAATTAGTTTCGTTAAAAATCCTCGGACTTTCCTCACATTCCATATTGCGCATTGGCATGGCCTATGTTGAGGTCACATAATGTTTTCACCCGGTCGTCTTTAGCCTTCGCGTTTGGATTGGAATAAATTCAATAAGACTCCTGCACGTGCAGCTATATCAACACGTTATACGCACTGGCAATATGGAAGAGTGCAGATTGAATGACCCCACACAGAGGTCACTTAGAGCGCAGCGCCGGCTAGCAACTGCCCTCTCATTTGAAGCCGAGAAAGAGATTTTGTTTTTCAATGCATACATCATTACTAATCACTTGCCTTTTGCACATACCAGTATCTTTCAACATAAAGCATGCCGACGTCTCGCTTTGGATACTAAATTAAATACGGGAATAATTTCTTCAGAGTTTTCGATGGCGTACATCCCAGCATTGCAAAACAATATATTTACGTTTGTTGGCGCAAAATAACACGTAACTTGACAATTTTCAACGGGATTTTACGAAATCATCAAAATTATTAATTGCTCAAAAACTTAATTTAAGGATCAAGAGAGGCATCTAATTAACTCCTTCCTTACAAGGCTTTAGCGATTAAACAAAAGCAATACATTCATTTGTAGATCTAAATAGAGTACATTCTCCGGAAGCCAGCATGCTTGAACGGTCTGAAAAAATAATGATCAAACATAATCTCCTTCTCATTTTTCTATCAGTTATCGTCGGCAATTCACGATAGCAACCAAATCTTTTCTATTATCAGTCCAGTGATCACATTTTTTTTAGTCCAACCTAATTTCAGTTATCCCTAATAAATATTAGACTTTCCATGCAACAGATTCATCAGTAAGGATCCTTGAAACACATCATACTCTGAGAAGAATCTCCAAGATTAACGGCAGACGTTTGTACATTCTCCTTATACAACAAACGAATGTATTTACGTAATTTCCACGTACTAAACCAAACCTCAAAACTCCACGAAACAGCTTATCCCTGTTACGTACGCACAACCTGCACAAACAGGCAGGGTATGAATCCGGAAACAATTCTTGTATCTCCACACTATCATGAAAACACAATTAAATCCCGTAATGATATGAAAATTCTCGATACAAAATCGCCATCATCCTTTAGGTGCCTTGTCGCTGACGCCGTCACATTCTGTCTTCTGCTATCCTTTTCATATCTGCATAGTTTTCGCAATACAAAATAACCAAGCTAATGTAGAAGTATTTGTAAGTTGTATTGTTTATAAAACCTATTTTAACTTGCCATCGAGTGTATTGAATTCTCTAGTTATCTACAACTATATTATAATTAGCTAATGTAACAACTTATTATTATTTTATGTATATTATTATTATTTTATGTATATTATTATTATTTTATGTATATTATTATTATATTATGTATATTATTATATTATGTATATTATTATATTATGTATATTATTATTATTGTATTATATATTTATAAATCAATGTATAAATAAGTTGCAAAGGAGTGCAGTTGCTGATGACTCTGAATATTAATATCTTTTTAAAAAAGGTGCGGATGTAGATTCTTCTTACATTTTGCACTAACAAATGCTGACCCCTGTGAGTCGGTAGTATTACTTTGGCAAATAGCGAATGCTTAACGTCAACACGACAGTATGCAGAGTCATTATAGGGTTACCGCCAGAGGAATGCCGGCCCGACAGTCATGGTTGGTATTGCAGGTTTCCACCCGAAAGCGAAGGCGTCGTGCCCGTTAAGCAATCGTGACTGAATTCTCACATTACGTCTGCAATTTGCACTTCGCGTGCAGTCCAAGCATGTGTGGGGCCTCTCACCCTTTAAAGGACGGTTCTCTATTACAATACAAAGACGACTATTCCAGGCAGTACTCACCAGGTCCAGCACAATAGAAAGAGCTCCCGAAAACAATATTTGATTTTCCTTTAGTAATTTGATCAACGATGCGGAAGTTAAGCATACTAAGTTTCGCATCTACCAACGATTACATATTAGGCATACCGTTTATTGCTGAATGTGGCAAGAATATGTATCAATAAAGGAGTAAAATGAATGTTCACAAAACAAAAGTTATAACGTATAAATACTTGCCTGAATAAATCCGTGAGCTCTCATCACTGATACAGATACTTTATTCTAATTAATATGTCAATAAATACTGTAAATTTGCGCGCGATGAATAATCTTATAAGTCAGCTCTTTGCTGAATATGATATAAGTATCTCATAGTATTTTCCTTATCATTCTTGAGATTTGTAAATAATCAGATAAGTTAAAATTCCTTTTGGTTGCTGAGTAATGGACGCTCGTGTATTAACTAACATATCGTACACTCCAACAAGAAAAGAATTGTCTAATTTCACACGCTATAAAAATGATCTGAGATCGTCGATTAACATCAAATAAATAATGTTGTTTGTTTATTCACGATAAAAGATTCCACAATGACAAGGTGGCAAGATACGTTTCTCTCGGGTAAACTGTAGTTTCCCCGAGTAGTCAGCAGCTTATTGACAAAGGTCAAAGACATAACAAAATTACCCCCCCCCATCATCACCATTATCAAATCTGGGGCAAACCCTTTATAGAGAAGTTACTTTATGAAGGGACCAGTTTTACACGTTGAGAAACAAATGAATGCCATATAGAGCGACGGCATTGCAAGAGATGGTGATAAAAACCATTTACTAATGAGCTTACTACACGAACGCATTGACGAACTGAGTGCATGGACATAACCCGCAGTTACGTTATCCTTCTTATAAAAAAAATCTCCCTATACCCGAGGACAAGTACAGTGACATCCGCCTGCTACCGAAAAACCGCCCGTGAAAACGCCCTCTGGAGAATTCCGAGGGCGGCGCGGCGGCGTGCTCAATGGCCACCCCTGGCGTAACGGTGAGGGCGCGCGCAATCGGTTCCGCCGCCAGGCGGCGCGCCGACGCGTCGCCGCCGTCGCCGCCGTCCCCTGCCCGCACGCACGTGCGCACGAGCGCACGCACCGCGCTCTCCGTCGCCGCCGCCGTCGCCGCCGCCGCCGTCTCCACTGCCGTCGCGGCTACGCTTCAACGGGCACCGGTGACGCGCCGAAACGCGACGCCCCGCGCGATACGCTCGCCCAGGGCGGTGGCCGCCGCCGCGACAATCGAAAGCAATCTCCGCGATCGCAATTGAATCTTTTATTTCAGAAACGCGTCGAACGCCAAAATCTAAAACACGACATTAGCGACGGATTGTTGTTCCAAGAGGGTAGAGACCATTTAGTGCATATTTATTTGAAAAGTATTAATTTCTCAATAGCTTTGATATTTATTTTTTAATTTGAAAAATTGGGAGGCTTTTCTCACTTTTCTCGAAATGCGGAAAGTGGCGTTTGACGGGTTTCTGAAATAAACGATTCAATTGAGATGAACAGTGCACCTCGGATAACCGAGTCGTCAGCTCACTGGCTTCTCAACCTCTATCGCGTGGGTGTGGTTCTGGGGAAGCGGGGTGCAATTTGAAAGGGCGTACAGTGACCATGTTGTGCTGGCGGCATGTAAACATATGTGGATAAATTCTCGGTGAAATAAAATTCTTCCATAAATCCCATCCTTTTGTTTGGCTTCTGATACCACATTCGTTTAACAGGGCAGGATCTCGGGTAATGGCATTACTAAGACTGTTGTGATGCTCTCTGGCGGCGATTATGAAAGACAAACTTTACTCAACGTTGGGGGTGTAAAGGAGGCCAACCAGAAAATACCCAGTAATTTCAGCCCATATTGGGGGTGGGGCTAATGACTGAAGTTATTGAGTGCCCGACCAAACAAACACACGCTGAAACAAACAAATCCGTAAGGGAGTGCTGTTTCGCCATGAGAGGGACCCTCCCTTCCTCCCTCCCCTGACGTAAAAGGGACTTCCAGAACACGAAATTATTACACACACGTAAACGCTTCATCCCTGAACAACCAAAAGCCAACACACAACGTACATGTTCTGACTCGGCGATTTCGTAAAACTATTAATCGGCAGTGTATAATGAGTTTCCTACCAATTAGGGGCAAAACTCACATGTGTAACTCAGTTATTCGAGATTTCTCCGTGAAAAAATTCGGACACAGTTACATGAGAACACCGATCCTCGAGAGATCTGGATGTATTTACAATTAGAGGACGAGAGACGCAAGAGTTCACGTTTTGGTTGGATATTCTTACTCGAGTTCGATTTATACTGGTACTAGCCTCCGTTTATTGATGAAGGCAAGATTACTTGCAAATAAATAAGCCAGACACTTCCACCAGAAAGCTACCGCTTCTGAGGTCGTAATCAATTTTACTCGGGCTATCCGGATGACAGCTCGTTCAGGGCGTGGATTACACGACAGAATAACTTCGCAATAGGTATCTGTTCTGGCCCGGGGACGTCATCGGGAGAGTGCAGCCGTCTTACAATAAAAGGTCCAGAACAAAGTCTCAGAACAACCAAAAAACTTCTCACATCTATTCAAATTCTGACCAAGGAATGCCACTGCAAATATTGAATCACCTCCCACAAGCGTTATCGCCGTTGCCACTTTTTTTGCGTTCAGAACCAGGTAGGACATGTTAAAGTAACTTAAATTATTTTATTACTTTATCATTCAAATAGTCGCTAGCAACCTTACGCATTGAGCCCACGTGCTCAACAATATTTCACGACATTAAAAGGTAAATTTTTAATTTTAGGCACTTTTAAATTCTTTCAAATGAGAAATTTACTTCAAAAATATATATTGTGAAACTAACAACCGAGAGAAAAACTGATTTATTTTTTATTGTAACGTGAAAAGTCACCGCAACTGCGTTATTTATGTAATACAGCAGCAGAAATCGAAATCCACTATCTGCGCCAAGTTCATCTCAATGCTACTGCAATGTGTTGGGGCCAGGTATAGAAGCTAACTGTAGTCGGGGATCGAAAAACAAATAGATATCGTTTCACGATTCGAAGGGTGACTGAAATGCAGAAAATACATTACAAAAAACTTCCACAGTTCAAAACAATTCCCCAAGTCTCCCAGTTATCTTTGCCAACAATGGAAACCATGGCATTGAATACCAACGGTTGAGCACGATTAGTTTATGTGCACCACCCGTCGTCAATACACCGTTAAGATCTGCCCCTCATCTACACTCCCATGCACCGGCCCCTTCGGGGTCGCAAAGAGATTAATATCACATGAATTAAGAAAACCGCTTTCCACCCACATCATCCATCTTCCATTATCTATCTTGCATTTATCTTAAATTAAGACCGGTAGCATACTATTTTTTTCCAAATCAATGCATACAGACGCCATCTGATAAGCGAAATTCGGTAGAGTGTGGTACAGGTTTTGAATGATACATACGTAACTTACCACGACGCTTCACGTTCGGAATACCTAACTCTTTTGCCATACCTACAGAAATGTTTCTCGTACGATCTACGGTCCTTCGTACGTATGTTCCGTACAGCACTTTCGGACAAATCTTACGATGAAAACGGCTCCTATTTTGCTTTTGCATATTCACAAATAAGTATTTCCCGTCAATATTCCATAAAAAAATATCAAACCACGCATAACCAACCCTTGGAACCGGGTCCGCGCTGCAGAAATCGAAGAGGGCCGTCGCGCGCGGCCCGGGAGGCGGCGCTTGCCGTGTGTTGTGGGTGCGGAGAGTGACGTCTGCGGAAGGCGCGCGCTGCCAGGCCACGCTCAGACCTTGGGCCACCTCCAACGCGATGTGCCCGTTAGGTAAGGGCGTTAGCGGAATCTTCGTCGTTATTGACGGTCTTTGGCGCACGGTGGACTAACGAATCGGGAAGGTTCCAGCCAATTGGGTACCAGAAAAAAGCGGCCCGTTGTTAGGAATGTTAATATCAAGTACTGGAGGGGGGCATATATAAAACAATTGGCAGTGACTAGAATTAATTACTGGTATGCAATTCCTGTATTAGAGCGTGGTTGACAATGCTCATTTTTTGTTATACTGATGGTCGAACATGAACAGAGTGCATGGCAACTTCTGACACAACTAATTTTGTGATATCTGAACACGCGACATCCAGAAAGCCCCACGGGATCTGCATCCGGCAGAACATATTGACCTAGTACCGAGTCAGTCGTCATGGCTTGAACTCCATCCAATCTCGACGGCGACTAGTATTATCGAGCAGGGGAGCCCAGGGAAAACAAGGGGCCTGGGAGAGCCGATTCATAGGGATCCCATATTTCCAACAAAAGTTTCCCTTATTTATTATTATCAATTATCAATATATTTTCAAAAGAAAATTATTTCAAATACAGGTAAATATTTTGTTCAAAAAAAGTTGAAGGAAATTCATTTTCTATAATGTTCGGGACCCCGCTTCCGTGGGGGCCTGGTGCAAGTTGCCTCAGCTTCCCCACCCCACGGACGCCCTTCTACACCCACCAACAGCACAAACTACCCTGCAAACCATATTGTATCTTGAGAGCGTAGGCTTCCGCGGCCGGAGTCAGTATTTACTCGGCTGTCCGGGTGACGCCGCGTCCATGGCGAAAGGTGCCGACGTTTCGGACGCCATTCTGCGGACCTTCTCAGGGCGTGGTGCCCAGGCGCATTAATCATCCGTGAGGAAGATCGCGAATGGCGACCGAAACGTCGGCACCTTCGCTAATGGACGCCGCGTCACCGGCAAACAGCCAAGTAAATACATATTGTTTCTACTCCTGCAATCCCAAACGAGACGCTTCCCCACCCGATCAAACGCCCCATCTGCCCTATTCCAAAAACAACCAACAAAAAACATTCAGGCCCCCACCAACGCCGCCCCGCCTCGCGGATCTTCTCGAGCGGCTCCGTGCAGCCGCGCACAGCCGCCGCCTTTGGGGCGCCGGCGGTGGGCCGTGGGGCTGGGCGCCGGGATCGATGAGACGCTTTCCGCTCGGAGGCAGTTTCCGCATGTGACGCGGCTTCCGCTCCGCGCGCGCAAAGCGCCTAAGCCGCGTGTGGCCGACACGACCGCGGGCGCCCGTCGGACAGGGCCCCGGCGGGGGCAAGCGCTAACGCCAAGAACAAACGCGCCAAACAACGCCCGAGCGCCCGCCCGCCCGCCGCGTTGCAAAACCTCCGCCGGGGCGGCACCGGCGCTGTCCGCGCCGTCGCCGTCTTACGTAAGGGGGCGGGCCTAAAAGCGAAGCCGCGGCTGCTTTCCCAGCGCACTGCAACGCGCGCGCGCCTTCCCTCCCGCCACTCCGCCTAAAACCATTCCAAGCAGCGGAATATGAACAACTCGGCTAGACTTCGCGAGCAAGCGCTCTGCTCTTCGTCGACCCTCGGCGTAAACACGCGCGCGGGGGTCAGTGCATGCCGACACCGTCTCTCCGTCCAATAAGGCAGACGCGGACGGCAGGCCGATGCCCCGGCTGACGCCATGAAAACAGCTCCCCGCACTTCAAGTAGCGCCAGCCTTCTATCTACTACTTTAATAAGTCTCTGCCAGAGCAAAAAACGAGTACTGGTAACCAGTCAAGTGTGCAGGGGTAAGTGGTATACTACTCTCAAAATGAATCACTAAGAGCTTTTGTTGATTTAGGTATCGTGCTGGATAAGTTCAGGTCACTTAATGATATACACTCGAAAGATATTATACTGACAAAATGTTACTAAATTGACACTAATGCGCACATTTCATTTATCACGAAGGAAACAATTATAAAACTAAAACCGAAAAGCTTAAAACCACATTCATTTCGTAAATGAGCGTATAATGAGAATTATAAAACATTATTACATCTTTTCATTTGAGAAAAACCTTGTCATTCAATACTTCATGTTAGACAAACAAAAGGAAACTGAATACGATTTTTTCGCTCATCTCACACGCGACGATTCTATACCAACGGTCTGCCTTCTCCAGTGCACAAACTTATCTAAGTTCCCATTACGTCCGTGCCGGCCGTGAGGACGGGCTGGGTGCGCGTATGGCACCGGAGACATCGTCCGCAGGCGCTCCAGAACTCTCGCGCGGGGCACCGGTTCAGCCGCGTCCAGGGGTTCAGTCGGTCCGCACCTCCGTCAGCGACTGAGGGCCTCGGACACTCGAACCGAAGTGGCCCTCGTCGGTCGCGAACCTCGGCCGCGAGAGCCCACGTCGCCGCCTCGACGTCGCATTGTGCCAGACTAGCTCTACGAGCGCGCATTGAAAAGTGCGTCTTCCGCATTAAACTATTCCTTAATTGATACTGTGTCTCCGACCGGGAGGTTCTGGGGTTCGAGTCCAGAAGATTTTCGATACTAGCCACATAGCTAGTTCAAATTCAGCTGTCTGGAGGAGAATTCTAGCGGCCAGCTGCTCTCATCGGTAGTTTGCCGTGGTTTCTCCGATCCGCACCAGGCGAATGCCGGAGCAGTACCCTAACAAACGGGCCACGGACCGCGCGGGATCATTCCCTCAACTTACTTATCCTATCCTCTCCCCTTAAAACAAGTACACACACATGCACTGCATTATTACACATGTTCGGAGATCAGTCAGGAGCTTATAGCTTGTCTAACTTCGGCCGCTAGAATTCTCCTCGAGATACTACTTGAATTCGGTCCAACTGTGTGGAAAAGCCGTCAAACCGCCAGGACACGCACCCAACAATCTCTCAGTCAAGATGCTGTAGCAGTTTGCTATCGCCCCGTGCCGGTGCTCCTCCGTAGCGGCGCGCGGCGCCGATCTCAAGCGTATCGTCGCGACGCAGAGCGGCACGGCACGGCACGGCACGGCACGGCACGGCACGGCACGCCACGCCACGCCACGCCACGCCACGCCACGCCACGCCACGCCACGCCACGCGGCGCTCGCGTGGCAGACTGATCGCGTCATCTGCGCCCTCGCCCTCGTACGCGGCCCACGCCTCCGCGCCGGCAGCTTGCGACAGGGCCTCCCACGACGCCCCCGGCGACAGGCCCAATTTCAGCCTTATCTGGGGCCACTGGGTTCAAATCGTGCTCCCCGTCATGTGACATTAGTAATTTTTGGTAGATTAACTTATTCGTTTAGGCGTGAAATACATCATAAAAACTGTATTTGACATTTGGGAAAGAAGATAGATTCAATCTGAGTTATACTGTATCCCAAACACTGAAGACAATGTTCCATTCACCTTCCTTCTTCATTATAATCATCATCTAGTTATAGCGCATTATTTAATTCAGGGAATCATCATAAACACGTGCTGCGACCTACGGTCTTAGCGCTCTTCACAGACTGGTGTCGGTCTATGTAGATGTATCATCGTGTCATTTAATTCATTACAAGATTTTGAGAAATTCGAACTTTTTCCCACTTCTGACTTCCCACACATTTTAGCACAATTGGAATTTAGCAAAGCTAGAAGCTCGTTGCACTCCAGTGACCAAGACGAAACTTTTCATTTTCTCTCAGATTTTAATTTATTGTGCAATGTGACAAAGTCAAATAAAATATGAATGAAAATGTTTACTGTCGAAAAAAAATATTTTATAGCAAGTATTAGCGTGCTAAACAGGAGTATGGTTACGCACCAGTCGCCGGAGTATGGTTTGTTTCTTTCTAATAGAATTGGCAATTATCCGTATAAACTTCCCATATTAAATATGTATAACCACTATTCTCTAAATTGACATCTTCGTCATATATATATATATATGTTCCCTTTCTCTTCAATTTTACGTAATTTATTCAAAATAATTCACATATAAATCTCCTCACATTCAAAGCAGTATTCCCCTTGTTAATATACTCTTACATTTTTATTTCTTTGCTAACAATTAAAACAACATTTCAATAATATTTATGAGAGTCTAGACTGAAATTTCGGACCCGAAATATTTTCTGGATTCGCCTGTTCCGAGACACATGTTGGCGTAGAAACCACGCAGAGCCCTTCCAGGCACACGCGGCGTGGCGAGGCGAGGCGAGGTGAGCGGGCGGGGAAAGAGCGCCGTAGAAAGTTCTATGCAGCGTGACGTGGGGCGCGAGGAGCATCCGAGACGCGCGCAGCCGGCGCTGGGCTGAGGCTGGGGCTGGGGCTGGGGCGACCGACTTCGAGCCCGCGCCGCCAAACATGGGCGCCGGGGTCCTGAGAAAGTCTCTCGCCCATCCGCAATCTGCTCCTCCGGCGCGCGGCCAGGAACCGCCCGGTCACCGCTTTACCGCCCGAAACAATTTGCACTCGCGGGATATTCGGCGCCGGCTCGCTGGTTTTTCACGCTTCGAATTGGAGGAGTAATAACAATTATGATTCATGTGCCTAAAGCATATACATATATATATATATATATATATATATATATATATAATATATATTATATATATATATATATATATATATATATATATAAACATTTAACGGGGGTGGCTTTAACTAAATCTATAAGTTGCTAACGATTACAGTTTTCCAATTACGCAAGGACAATTTGGATGGTCAAGGACAATTTTTTCAAAGTGTAATAACCTCAACATAGAATGTGGGGTTCGGGTGGCGTTCGGTGAAGCATTGTGTATACACGAAACGAACGATAAAACTTCCAATCCTGAAAAGATTGCCAGGGAGGCAGACAGTTTGGTAGCAGCAGCAATTCAAACGATCGCTATCACTGCTGCAGTCCTTAGCGTGCCGGATCGGCGCAAACTATCTGCCTTATAAATCATTCCCGCCTCAACGATCTGGCTTATTCATTTCATCGTTCGAGTAATAGCAACTCATCAACAAATCGGCCAATTATTAAAAAAAAAAATTGGAAAAAAGGAGTCAGAGAGAAACTTATGAAATTTACATCCGAAAGGGCAGCTGCTGCGACCGCGCGCGCTCACCATCCACACACGCGCGCGCGCGCACGCGGCGCACAGCACGCACCACGCACGGGCCTCGCTGGCGCGGGGCCGCCTGCGCGGGCGCAGCGCCTCTTGACCGCGTCGATTCGCGCCCGGCCCTCGCTCCCGCCCCGCGCCCCAGCCGCGCCGGCGCGTTTCTCCTCGCAGTTTCTCCGCTCCGCGCCCGAGCCCGCGAGCGCGCGCCTGACCCCGGCCGCCCGCCCTCCACAGCGGTACACCCTCCCGGGAAAGTGCCACGCCACGCCGCTCCACGCTGACGCTCCACGCCACGCCACGCTGACGCTCCACGCGACGCCACGTCTCTGTACGCCAGGCCTCTCTACGCCATAACACACAGGTTAACGCCACGGCACGGCACGGCGCACCGCCCTGCTTCGCAGGGGCATCTGCTGTCCATATCGTCAAGGGCAGGCCTGCAAACTCACGTGTAAGGCCCCCGGACATTGTCACGCGAACTTCGCAGTCAGCGAAGTTGCCACTTAAATCCTCTCGCTTCTCGAAGGACAGAAACAAAAACGTGCACATCCTGTGTATGTTCGAAGAGGACTTCTTCCAAACACTTCATCCACAAACATTATTCATATTTCATCCACATCATTATTTGGAGTACAGTTTTAGAAATTCCGCTAAACAACGTACTTCTAGTAAAAACATCCAATACACGGTTATTTTTCCATGAAATTAAGATATAGGAGAAGGAAACATTCACTTTTATCTGACTTTGATAGTTGTGAACATTTGAAGGTGCTAACTCGAGTTGTACATCCCTTGATTATGCGCATGATGGTTGATTTAGATAGGACACCTTCAAATAATATCGCAACATTGTAGAGATATAATACATTAAAAGAAACAGAAAGGGGGACAAAATATCTCCGCTTGGCAAGAAATGAGAACACTTTCTAGAATTTTTCATTTGATTTCCGTGTCATCTGTCAAATCCCCATTAATATGTCATAATCGTTCGTGATGATACTCAGTTTAAGACCGTGACGAAAATTTGTCTCAGCACGCAGTGCCCCGATTACGCAGGCAGCAATGAAACACCACGACGATGCAACGAGTTTATTTATCGCTGAACGCAGCATAATAATGGGAGGAAACATGCATTTAAATTGAGGACCCCAACGATTTATATGCATTACAAAAATTTGTATTCCATGTCCACTTGCGTAGCACTACGCACGGAACAAAAAAGTTATTAGTTAAATACACCTCTAAGTCTCTTTCAGTTGTGATAATGGCGTGAAATTCTAGGATAAACTGCAATGTATTCTGTAGTATCAACCAATTTATTCAGAATTCGTTAGTTGCGAAGTAAATTCGAGAATCATTCGTAAATCACTCGAATGCTCCAATGTTTCAATGTCATCAACATGTGTGATTGTGAATTAATTATTTAAAAGTAATGTATTTGAATGTATTATTTTTATCTTCAAATGTGTGATCTAAGTCGAAAGGTTACATTATTAATTAATTGCAGGACAATACATTTGGGAATGAGCGTACTGGACTGGAAATTTTAAGCCATGCAAGCCTTCACCCGAAGACGAAAAATTAACGTACCAATTTTATACACTACCATCTGCGATTTATCGCCAACTTACGAAACACCGAGTGACGTGAAAAGCAAAGATTGTGGTGTCGCACGCAGCTAGTCTAAAGAGAAAACGTAATACGACCAACTTAATCAAAGCACGTCTCATTACGTTTCCAGGCTTCGTTTCCGAACAACGTAAGCAGAAGTCGTGCAAAGATAATGGCGAACGTAACACGCAAAACGAAGAGTCCAGCGCAGCCGCGGAGTACAGAAACCATTATCTGCGCAGGCAGGCGGCGCTCCGCCTTGCGCGGTCAACTGCAACAGCCCGACGCGAAGCGACGCGACGCGACGTCCCGATGCGATCCGACTGGTTTGCATGTCGTCGGAACATAGCCGCTGCGGCGCGGCGGGAAACACAATGGCCCAAAACGCGGGCCTTGTAGACAAATGTTGTATGGGAAGACAGATGGCAACAAAGATAGTTAAGGCAGTAACGTCGTAACTGCCTCTGCTCGAAGGGTGGCGGGTTACAATCGTGTACGCTTTTTCTTCTTTCTTTTTGTTGCTTATTTATGGTCTCTTATCAACGTCTACGGCCATATAGCGACCACTGTAAGTAACATTGGGGGTAACGGTATTTGTATACAGATATACACACACGTCCATGCTCCTGACGCGATTCGAACCCGCGATATATTAGGCACAAAGCAGCTACGACTCTTAGCAGCCTTAGCGACCTCGACTATCCAGGCCGGCGATTTTTGCTTTTGTGTTGTAGCACGGCGGGGGTCTCTCAACCACTGTGTATCAACTCTTTCTTCCATTCCGACCCTTACAGCCGAGATGGCTCTTCGGGGAAACCATTTTCTGGTGACTTGCCAGCCGATGACTGCTGCCACTCCCCATATCCCTTCCTCCTTTAAGACTTTTCCGGGATCTTATACAGACTGGACCTTATATCTGACTGGTCGAAAAAAAACCTATGAAATTAAAGGAACTGACAGTTTTAAATACTGATGCCTTCTTATGGAATAAACACGCGTTTTCCGATTTAGAAATTGGCAATTAGTAAACCCATTGACAAATTTTTGATGGAACAACTTATACCAGCATATGAAGGTCGAAGACAAGGTAACTAGCTTTCTAGAGTTCCCGGGCACTGCTCCCAGAGCTACTGGCGCGTGGTTTAAAAGTGAGGGTTGAACAAAGTGCTCACGGGTGCAGATATATCACTGGATACTTGGCACTTAACAGTCTTTTCGAGAAGTCAGTTGAGAGTGATATTTCCTCTACAAAAGCAAACAAACTAACCAATTTAGTCAACTACAGCAGTCATATTAGAAACTGTCAATTGCGAGTCAAATTAAAGATTTTGAATCGAAAATATCTTGGTCTCGTAATCGCGATTACTTAAGATTGCAATAATTATATGAAACCTAATCTAAACATTAATTTTTTACATACAAGATTGTTGTCTGTTAAAAGAGCTGTCATCCCATTACAGGCATTAATTTATTTCACAATATTGCCACGTAGAACAAATAACCGAATGATGTAATAAAACATAACACAAAAAGAAAACAAGCGAAGAATTCAAACAAATTCCCACCCCTTCGTAAGAATTTATTTAAGGCAGAATATAAGAAGGAAAAAAAACACGAAATAAAATACGTACTCTTGTATATCTACAAAATTTAAATCAGTTGTTTGACAGAAAACTTCAGGCAAACATGTTTGCGTTTCAAGCAACCACTCGTTCGATATTTCGAGCGCGTTTTCAGCTTCAATTCCACTCATTGGGCGTGTACGCCCCCTTCTGGATTTGAAGGGTAATCAGAGGATGGCTAGGGGATGTTGCCTATAGTCGCTCTTGCAGGCGGAGTTTGATACGCCTGTCTAACGAGATCCAAGACGTTTCAATTTAACCATCTATCATTGGATCTACATGATTGGACCATTCCATTCATATTCATAGCCTTCAATAGTGCAAAATCTGAAACTCCCACGCTGCCCTGCTTACTATACACTCCATCCATTCTGAACAAATTGTCGCAACGTTAACCTTACCGCCCTGCACTGTGAAGTGAAACGTAGAGCCTTACCTTACGATAACGGTTCGTCGTTACAATTGTAAGCCAAGTCACGTGACAGTACTAAGGCCAAGGCGCTACAAATGTGCTAAAACTCCCTACTATTACATTCCACGTTTTACTCCTTAACTAAACGCTAGCTTCATCGCATTTTTATTGACATTTCGGCCCACTGCTCCGTGTGGCGCGGCACGGCACGGCACGGCACGGCGCGCGTCTCTGATTGCAGGCGCCCGCCCACCGCGCTATGCGAGTGAATGGCCGATTCCCGGCCGCCGCCGCCGCCGCCGCCGCCGCGTCGGTCGCGTGCGCCGCAAAAGCGGCTGCTTGACACAATCTAAACGGCATTCCGACACGGAGAGATGAGACAATTCGCCGAGTGCTGCAGGAAATTGGCTTTCGTGAGCAGGCCCTCGCTCAGACCCAAGACAGCGACAATAACCATCTAAAGAACTGCTTCGGCCTGGACGCGAACTTTATCATGCACACTAAGAAACCTGGCCATCGTTTTTACGTCATGCACAATTGGTTTATTATACAATATCCCCAGCATTTTCACGAACTCTAAGATACCAATATCGGGATTTATGTACACCCTGGCAATGGACAACGGATCTCGTATAAAAACGATAAAAAACACGCAATATAATGGATGTATTTTTTATTAGAAACCTATGAATAAATGGTTTTGATTACTGATCTATACATAATTTGAGCTCTGTAAGCCATTACTGCAAAAGATAAGGTATTCAATTAAAACCAGCCCACAAACCAATATTGAACTTTCACAACTTTACAAGTGTTTTTTTATAAATGTGTATAGAAGCCCCATCGACTTGGTTAATGAGAGCTCTGCAAAGTAGTGGGATCGAACATGCTTGTATTTAGATAGTTGTTTAGTACATGACAAACAATTGAAAACTTTCTCTTGCATAGACTGATATAACACAACTGTATTGAACTGTTTCTACTGGTAACTGTATTGAACTGGAACTAAATCGCAACGTATGGTGTCGTCATTACGTTCAGTACGAGACACCAAGTACGTTTTGTGTACACAGAATAATACGCGTACAAAGCAGTGGCATATTTGCACAGAATTCGCCAGAGTGTGACATGTTTGCACAGAGCCGGGAAGCAGGCAAAGGCCTCTCCAGGATATCCGACGCCTGCCTCCCACGCTCCAACCAACAACGGCCTCACCCACACAGCTCGAACGACAGTTCACACTGAGAGCATTTCTAAGAAATGCAGCAATGGGAATTATTTTTCGAGGTTTCATGATTCTTCAGACTGCGTTTCATTCCGATATTATTGTACTGTCTAATGAACATTCTAAGAACTTTTTGACTTTGTAACTTTTATACTTCGTTTCAGTTTAGTATAATTTTATTAAGATAAATGCACGATGTTTACGAGAGTACGTCACTCAAATATTTAAAAAGAAGAAAACTCCTAACATCCCGAAGGAACAAGATTAAAGAACCGTTCACCGTTTTAAACTTTCTTCGTCGGTTTGCCTAGCGAATAGCTCTCCCCCGTTTCCTGTCGACCTGCGCAACCCTTTCAAGACACGAACCTTCATCTTCCTCGGCGCGAAATCCTCATCCATCTTCGTCGAAAAGGCGCTCGCCAGAAAAAGAGAAAACAAAATTCGCGAAAAGGCCCTAGACCATGGGAGTGAGCAGAAGATACATAAAGGCGAACATTCGTGAGTCGCAGTGTTCGGAGAAGACACTTGCACAATATTGTTTGTTTTTTTCAAAATAAATGAAGTTGCTCTGTATAAAATATGAAATATTTCTCAAGAGTATTTTAGGAGATCTGTTCGAAGACTGAGCCATTCACCTGTGATCAAACGAAAAACTAAGTAAAATTTTATCGGCAACCTTAGACCAGCAGAGATTGTCGATGAAAACTACTAATAAAACTCATTGACATCATACGACCAAATTGTTCATAAAGGAAAAAGAAGTGCTTTCGATTTTGCTGATTTACTGCAAAGAACTAGACGTTTCAAGAAAGCGAAATTCAATGAACATTTGAAGCGATTTATGGTAGCATTACTGTATTTAAATTTCATTTATTGATATAATGCTCACATTATTAACAAGCAATGTATGGTCTCAATTGTATGGGATGTTGTGATATCTTTACATTTCAACAATATGACATCATATTAACATTGTTCCATTTCCTTTTATTACGGAACTTTATACTTATCTTACAAATGAAATACTGGGTTGATACTTCAAAATTGTGTTGAACACTCTACTAAAACGTAAGGGCACAAGAAAATAGATTTGGACCCAACCTGATTATTGCTTTACATCAATCTAAAATTACAAATTAACTTTTCGAGCGACTCATAGTAAACAAGTTACTTGTATTAAACAACTCTTTTTCTACGTTGCACTAGTCGAGTTAATTGTGAATCCTCGACTACATTACGGACACAAAAGCCGAAGAACGGTGCCTACACCGCCGCGCACTCTCTCAGCGTCCAAGCTGAAGACACGCATTCTTCCCAAACCTAGGCGTCGTCTATCGACTGCTCGCACCGCGTTGGGCTGGCGAAGGGGGGGGGGGAGAGGAGAGGTCGGCGTC